TTTTTCATTTTCATTGTGCTTCATGAAAAACCTGTTTAAATTTTGATAATATAATTTTTGTACGATATATTATTCTTTGCTCTTTCGAGTTGGAAAGTAACCCCTAATAAATTGGTCCAAGGAATACCATATTAAAAAATTATTTAATTAAGTTGAGTGAACAAAAGTTATATTAACCCAATAATTAAGTTAATAATTTATTAAAAATGTGTTTTTTTAAATAATCCTTTTTATCATTTGTATTGGAAATTACTTTTTTTAATGAAAAAAATTTATTTGCTATATACAATCAATAGATAGGAATTAGGATTTAGAAAAAAAAATTATAAATTTAAAAAATAAAGTAAATTAAGATTTCATATTTATAATCAAGACAAACATCTTTACTAGCTTTTATATTTAAATCTGAACGGTGTATTGTATTTGGTGCTACTAAGTTAAGTTTAAGAATTATTGTTATTGAGCTTAAATAAAAATAACTCTTTCAATATAATTTATTTTATTTACAGGGTTTGAACCCATGATTTTATTTTTAAAAATGGAATATACTACTCAATCCAGCCATTGTTATTGTGTATATTTTCAGTCAATCGATATGAGCAAAGTTACATAGGAAAACAAAAGTAGGATTAGTGATCTATGGGACAATTAATTAAATTAGATTGTGTTTAAGAATACCTGAAAAAATTGGATAAATATTATAATGGAATGATAAATTACTTGTTAATTTAAAATAGCAATAAATAAGCTAGATTAAACTGAAGGCACTCTAAAAGAAAATTCTAGAATTAGGTTGACCACTGATAAGGTCGTTGGGTTAGGCATGGGTTGATTTTCTCATGTTTATGATTTTCTCGGGTTTAAATTCCAATTAGCATCTGCCTCCTAAACTTTCATGAACGTCATGCAAAAGAAGAATATAACAGCCGTACAAAATTTAGATTTATTTTATAACAACGCAATATCTAAAATTTTGTAAAATAAAATTAATTAATAATCATATTAATAAATGATAATACTAAAACAAAAATATCACCCGTATTTTTTATAACAATAATTTATTTTAAAAAATTGATGTTACTTATAAATTGATATATAATTTAATAATGCATATAAGTATTTTAAAGATAATATATGTTATAATTAAGTAATTTAATAATTTTTATAATCTCTTTAAATTACTCAACTTGATTTTATATTAAGGAATTAGGTAGGATTTCATATCAAATTTAGGTTTGTTGAAGAAACACCAAAACCTAATTAAGCAATCCTCCTTGATGAAATGGCATTGATGTTTCCATAAGCGAGTCGAATATCATATCATCATTCCTGTCGTTTTAATCTAAACGCCACTTCCTCTACACATAATTGCTTACCGACCCGCCGTTGGGAATTCAATCTCTAAGCTCTCAATTTTTGGGCTGCCAAATTTCAACATCGTGCGCATTACTGCCCTGTTGAAAGCGACGTCGTTCAAACTCCTGGTCCGTTTACCTTATTACCTTCCTTTTTTTTTGGCCTCAAAATCATAAAAACTAATTTCTTAAAAATAGATACAATTATTAATCTATTATTTCCTTAGGAATTTTCAATCCTTATATGATATAACAACTCTATAACATCTCATAGATTAATACTACCTCCCATACTCAATTAAGAACTAGCAATCAATATGTAAATATTAAAAAAAATTAGTTAAACTAATTATTTATAATAAGTATATGTTATTTTTTCTAGAATATCCTTATTAATTATATACAATGAAAATGTTTTTGATAAAAAACACTTTAACATGTGTATTTACCATATATATTACTTTAAAGCAAAATGGATAGACATAAAAAACAAAATAAACTGAGAACTTATGCTTATGACTAAATTAAATTTTTAATGTGCTTTTATATTAAGAATAGAATGTCCCACTAACATGCATTAAAATAAAATTGTTATATGATAATCATTTGACAAGACAACTCTAATTCTATGTTTAGGTTTGGTACTAGGGAAATAGAACAAAAAAGAGAGGAGAAAAATTTTAATGAACTCAATTTAAAAAATTAGAAAAGTGTGGTCTTAAAATTTTAGTACATAGATGATGTAAGATAAAAGAGTAATAAAAATTAATTTCAAATTGAGCTTATTAAAATTTTTCTTATTATCCTTTCCGTTTCCCTTATACCAAATGTACCGTAAAGAGTCAGCCCATTTAAGTCCTAAGCTCATCAACACTAACTATTATAAGCTCAAATAGGAATTGAGTATACCGAAAAGGACTAGTCTCTCATAACACAATGAGCTCATATTTGAATCTCCACTAAAAAAATATTCACATTCAGTGCCTAATAATCTGCCTGTTTGGATGGGTGTTTTATCATTTATGTGCCAAAATGAGGTTTAAGTAGTTGATAAGCTCGATTGGTTATGTAAGGGTGTTTGCGACATTTTTTGGGTCATCCCACTTTAGCTCCAAATCATTAATCAGACCGTGTGTTTTAATAAGCTGCAAGGGAGGAGCTTTTTAAAATTGCATCGTGCTTATATTGGACTGTTGAAAAATTATTTTCTTGTCAAATATATTTTTATTCCTGCCTCTCCTCATTTATTCCTACCTTTGCTCATTTAAATTCATTGTAGTATGTCAATTCATTTTTATTTATCATGTTTCACTTTATATTTAAAAATATTTTTTATGATTTCTTTAAAATTTTCAAATTTATTTCGCACATTAAATTTTACTTCTTCATTATATTATCTCAATTCATTTTTTCTCATGTTTCACATTATATTTACAATATTTTTTATGATTTTTATGAAGTTTTAAAATTTAATTCACTCAATCAATTTGACTTCTTTATATTAAATTATTTTAATTTCATTGTATTATGTCAAAACATTTTTTAACCACGTTTCATTATTTATTAAAAATCATACCTATTTTAGTAATTTTACAACAAACTTATTTTTACTCAATCATAATTCCAACAACTTTTTACCAATCTCACACTTTTACAAACTAACTTTTTTAAATTCCAATCCAAACACAATTCAACTTATCTAATTTAATTTTTATCCAACTTCACTTCTTCAAAAACTATTTTTCTAATCATTAATCTAAACGGACCCAATATTTTCAATAGAATTACCTCCGATAACAAAATATCTTTGCGTTGAAAAAAAAAAAAAAAAGGAGAGAGGCTCATTTGCTATTTTAAAATGTAGACCCCAAACTCAACTCTAGTAAGTCTCAGACCTATGTTCTTGGCTCTCTGCCAGCAATCAATTTTTTTTTTTCCTACGCCATGAATCAATATTTACTATTATTATTAAAACTGATCAGTGGGAGTAAGTAGGGTCAAATTGAAGAACTTTTTCTTTATAGAATAAAATTGAGAATTCACACCACATAGTGAGGGTTGAGATTGTCTGATGTCAAATAGTTACATAAAATATCTTGACCAGCCAAATAATAATATGAAAAATTATTATAAATATTAATATAAAATATAATTAAATTTGAATTTTTAATACAAGCATGAGATTCGTGAATTGAGATACCCTAACGCGCACATATTCAATAAGGTCCAAGGAATGGAGCTAACCTAATTTTGCCGGTTGGGAAAAGGCAACAAGTTCCATAACCCCCGTACGGACAGATTGGGTGATATCAACCAAATGTGGGATTAAATTATTAATATCTGAACAAGAAAACACACGGCACACAACAAGTCAAGAATGATCCATCACAATTCTTTTTCTTTCTTTTTTTATTGCCAACCAGAATTCTTTTGGATAAAAAAAAAGGAGGAAATAGAAAAATTACAAATAGAAACCAATAACAACATAAGCATGAGTTTTTGACAATAATGATATGGATTCTGACAACAATTTTTGTAAACTGGTCCTTATGTATAGTTTTTCTATTTTAGCAGCTTTTTTTTTAAACTATTTTTCCAATTCTTTTTCTATAACTCATCCAAAGAGGCAAAAAAAAAAAAAAGATGAATAAATAAATAAAGAAAGGACACAACTTTTCTCTCGCTCTCCCACAGCAGATCGCCACATTTTTTTTTTGGGGCCTGAGGTCCCCACAAAATTGGTAGACGTAAACTGAGGCCAGCCCAAGTCTAATATAAAATTTTAATTTATTTGTCAAATTTATAAATTTTCTCTAAAATCTCCATATACATTTATATTGCTTGTACATAATAAAGAAGATTTTGTCAAATAATAAAAGAGTTTTCATCAAACAGTCACAATAACAAAATTATACAAGATATTCAAAAAAAACCAATGCACGTTTACTGCCGCTCGTCCTTAGGATAAAAATTAGTTGAAAATTTAAATTCGTCTTAAATATATAATCCAATTTATTTCATCTTTAATATTTATTCATTTTGCCTCCTACGTAATCTCTACAGTAATTGCATATGATAAGAAATTTTTATGATTGATAATGATATTTTAAAAACAATAAAAGTCATTTATTATAAATAACTAACTAATCTTCTTAATTTTGGTAAATTAATTATCTAACTTTTATATTAAGGTCAGAAATAATATTATAAATAATTAACTCAACTAATTTTTTTTTAATATCTACGAATAAGTTATCTAGTTTATTAAAAAACAAATGGAGTAACCTTTTCACTCATATTATCAGTAAATGATTAATATTGATAATACCATTCGTTTCCATTAAAAACGCGAAGACGGTTTTCCTAGCTTTGCCAGCAACGAAGGCAATGAAATGGGAAATGCGTAAGGCGTATTAATCCCCCCAACTAACAGATAAATGCAGGATAAGATCCAGAAAATCTGATTTAACATAAAAAAGAATACACGTGGCACAAATTCACGAACGGATGATTCTTAGATGTCGTCAGTAACCTCTAAACAAATCATGAACCTAAAATGAAAAATCATTAAACCAAATCAGTTTCCCGTGTACCTGCCTGCACATGCACTGCATTCCAATTTCCACCATATGCTAAATACATGAATAAACGGTGTTATCTTGACCCCTTTATAATCTGGCGTCATTCAGAGGACTTTCCGAGCCAATATGAGGCCATGAAAGTGGAAACACCCCCTCATGAAGGCCATTATCAATTTTCCAAACTCTCATGAGTCCTTTCAAACCCTGCAAAAGAAGATTAAAGTATGAGAGAAGATAGAGAAGCCAACGAAGACTGAGTCATAAATGTACAGTTCCATTGTATGAAAAACCGAACCAGACATTTAAAGTCCTGCTTTTTCTGTCCAGAATTGGAGGTTTCGTAAAAGTGTTACTTTTTTCTCCACCCTTTTTCTGTCTCCGAGCGAGGATAAATTGGAAGCAGTATGGGAATAATCTCTCAAGTCTGAAGCAAGAAGAGTCGTCGTCCTTTAGCATTTTGTTGCACAAATGGCAGGAGGGTCATTTACACAAGGTGCTGTGACGAGAGAGAGAGCAGCGCAATACAAAGGGAGAGTTACAGCTTATGTCGTCATCAGCTGCATTGTTGCTGCCACTGGAGGGTCTCTCTTCGGCTATGATATTGGGATTTCAGGTTCTTTTCCCATGCTCCACTCTAATCAACCAGTTTTAATTTACTTGAGATCCTATATTTTTTTGTGGGGTTATGAGAGATAGGGAACATTCCCTGATTACCAGCTGAGAGAAAGATCTGAACAGAAAATTGCTCGTGTAGATCCAGAAGATAATTGTATATGCTTAATATCTTAGAGGTGTGAATTGAAAAATAAAGATACAGAAGAGGATGCAGATTCTGATATACCCAACTTTCTCTGTCTGTTCTGTACTGTATGCATGTGTCAAATCATGTTTTGATTTCACTTCTGGAACCTTTTCATCATCGCTACTTGATTCCAAATGATGCAATCCCCAAGTTAACATCGAAATAATGACTCCTCATCATTCACTTTGGCTCTGTTCGTAACCTTTTTCATCACTTTTAAGTCTCCTTTCCAATTGAGATACCAGATGTATTCAATTAACTTCCGGGGTTTACGACGCTTGGAAACATAGTCGCATTGTATCAGACAGACATTTTGGGCACTACATATTTTGCGGCCTCTGGTATCAGTATCCCATGGATTTAAGGCTTCAGTTTTATCTACTTCATGCACTGAGTAATGATTTGTGAACTAATGTTCGAAAAACAGAACTCCCAACTTTAAAATTAGTATCAAAGAAAAGCAAAGCAACAGAAATTAACTAAAAGTTTGTAGATTATTTCTTACTTGGATGCTGGTCAGAGAGAGCCATTCCTTTTACATTGAAAGTCCTCTGATTTTTGTTTGATTGCTAACAGGGGGGGTGACTTCGATGGACGAGTTTCTCCAGGAATTCTTCCCGTCAGTATACAGAAGTAGAGAGCATGCACAGGAAAACAATTATTGCAAGTACGACAATCAAAATCTTGCATTGTTCACCTCTTCTCTCTACCTTGCTGGTTTAGTTGCATCTCTATTGGCATCTCCAGTAACAAGGAAGTACGGGCGAAGGGCAAGTATAATTGGTGGTGGAATCTGCTTTCTTATCGGATCGGTTCTCAATGCAGCAGCTGTTAATCTGGCCATGCTTCTCCTAGGTAGAATCATGCTTGGTGTTGGCATTGGATTTGGAAACCAGGTAATCGGCCACACTTTAAAAATAAAATTATGTCTGCATACTCGTGTTAGCTATGGTACTACCTTCAGACTGACTGAAAACATTAGTTCAATACTGTGTCACATCATATCCGCATTAACTCTGCAATGAAACCTTTTAACAGATTGTGACTGTTAATGTGAGTTTATAAACTTTCCATGAAAAGTAAGGTGCTGATGTGTTGAAACATGAAACAGTAAATAGGTCCAGAAAAACATGCATTGTGGTTGAACTTAAAAATAACAGAGCCCCACCTTGTGGTTGTTTTGAAGGCAATTCCTCTGTACTTGTCAGAGATGGCACCAACCCACTTGCGAGGTGGCCTGAACATGATGTTTCAAGTGGCGACAACTTTAGGAATCTTCACAGCCAACATGGTCAACTATGGAACGCAGAAGCTTCACCCATGGGGGTGGAGGCTCTCATTGGGTCTAGCTGTTATACCAGCTACTGCAATGACAGTGGGCGGAATTTTCCTTCCTGATACGCCAAACAGCTTAATAGAAAGAGGATTAACAGAAAAGGGAAGAAAGCTACTTGAAAAGATCAGAGGAACCCAAGATGTTGATGCAGAGTTCCAAGACATCATCGATGCGAGCAAGATCGCAAACTCAATAGAGCATCCCTTTCGAAACATGCTGGAAAGGAGGAACAGGCCAGAGTTGGTCATGTCAATTCTCATGCCGACGTTTCAGATCCTTACTGGAATAAATTCAATTCTGTTTTACGCTCCTGTACTGTTCCAGAGTATGGGATTCGGAAGGAATGCTGCTCTATATTCATCTGCTTTGACAGGAGGAGTTCTTGCTTCCTCAACATTTATTTCTATTGCAACGGTTGACAGATTGGGACGCAGGGCTCTGCTCATCAGTGGTGGAATACAAATGATCATATGCCAGGTAAATTAAAGAAACAAATTTATGAAGCACACAGCATTCTAAGAGTTATCTTTGTGTGACTGATTTAAAATAAAAAAGAACACAGCTGCCTATGTATTGCCAGTGCAGGGGATCAAGGAATCGTCTCTATGCAGAGAATGTTCTTAAACATTAATGTTAAAAGGTCACATATTAAATGATTCATTGGCTGATTGGCACTTCATATTTTGGGCTGTCACAGTATATAGAGCTGCTGAACAAGAACTTTGAATTTGTATGAATCAAACACTCCAGAACTGATGTTAGACTAGGGAGAACACCAAGTCTGTAGTATGAAACAAGAACCCTGGCAAATGAATTATATTGTTTCATCATCTAGACAACTAGCGATTTCAGACTGCTCCTCAGATAGAGAGACAATTGACTATATAATCCATAAAGCAATTGACTAAAGTCTCAGTTTTTCCCCCCGAATATGAACAGGTCATAGTAGCAGTAATATTGGGGCTAAAGTTCGGAGACAATCGGGACCCGTCTACGAGTTACTCAATAGTAGTTGTAGTTATGATTTGCCTCTTTGTCGTAGCTTTCGGATGGTCATGGGGTCCCCTAGGGTGGACAGTTCCAAGTGAGATATTCCCATTGGAGATCCGATCGGCAGGACAGAGCGTCACAGTTGCAGTAAATCTTCTGTTCACATTCATAATTGCTCAAAGCTTGCTTTCCCTCCTCTGTTCCTTAAAGTATGCATTGTTTCTCTTCTTTGCGGGCTGGATCACCATCATGACCATTGTAGTCTTCCTTTTTCTACCTGAAACCAAAGGAGTTCCCATTGAAGAAATGGTCTTTTTATGGAGGAAGCACTGGTTCTGGAAAAGGTTAGTGCCTCCTCCATTCCCGGAAGCTGATGCAACTGATGTGTAAGGTATACTGTTTCAGTCATCCTAGACTAAGGTCTACAGATTATCATACTTTTACATACAATGTGTAACGAGATGTATACATATTGAATCTAGTCATAGAATGTATTGTGTTATCATGTATTTTAAGAATTTCCCCGTCTTAGAGACTAGCTTCAAAAGTCGGCAAAAACACAAAAGATTCATCACAGCGCTGTGAATGCCTTAGTTCTCTTCTCGGATACTGCCTAGATCGCAAGACATTAGCAGTTTGAATAGATACACGAAGGGGGACGAAAAGCGACTTGCAAGCTAGAATATTCAACTATCATCTCCGGTAGCACTTACAAAGCCAAGTCATGCAATTTCAACTGATTTCAATACTTAGTTCTCTTGAAACACTCGCACCCAATTTAGCGGACATATGCGAGTTGAAGCTAGTAACAGAACAAGGATAAAATGCCTAAAGACAAGACACTGCTTTTCCCCGGTGAAATCAGAGATGCGAATAGAATGATAGCAAACAATCCATCAATGATTTAAAACCCATGCGTGCCCGTTGAACTAGTACTCTACCACACAATTAGTCGTATTAGAGATTATGGCACTCAAAATAAATTTAAACCAATGAAAATCAGCAGGACCTGTCAAGTCGACTGAATAGTGAGGTAATGCGTTCAGAGGAAGTTCAAAGAAACCAAGCTCGGATCCCAACTTGGCTGTCAATATGATCGTACTGTGTCGACACTGCATTCGAACATTGAATTGTATTTCATCAACCACGAAGTACCCATTACAACCATTCAGAAGAGCAACTCACACGAACAAATAAGCCCCACACCGACCAGTGAATCAAACACGAATTGCGAATTATCATCATGCTGTTTTCAAAGGCCTACCCACCCCAGCAGGTACCCTGTAGAACACGAACAGATACGCGTACGAAAATTTTCATCGCAAACTCCGCCTCAACAGAGTCACTGGTCAATCATTACATCGCGTACATCAAATCTGAGCTTAGGATGACATAATGGGCAAAGTTTTAAAGAATCCGTTTACATGCGCAAGGATCCTTCATTCTTAAGGCCGCGAAGTTTTTCCCTTTAATCCATGATTTTCGTATCCTCGTCGAGAAGCAAGTTCACTCACAATCAAACCGAATTCAAGGTGACAGAAGCCCATTTTACGTTTCCGCCAAGAATTATGGAAATCATCCTCTAGGAAGAAAAGAATAAATTCCGAATAAAGAAAATAAAAAGATCACGCATGCAATAGGAGGGCATTAATCCAGTGCAGAAAGCTAACTATAGGGATCTTATTGCATCAAGATTCAGAACTACATCAAGAAGAAATAGACAACAAGACGAAACAAACACCTGAAAGAAACGAACCAACACTAAGTACACTTCCTTCTTCTACACGATCTAAAGGCCAGCATACGCACGCATCCTACAGACACAACCTAAAACCACCATGTTGTACTTTTAAAGAGCACATGAATTTACAAGAGATTTATAGCCTCGAAATTCGAACCTTCCGTCCTTAAGTGCACTAATACTATCTAACTGAATAGAGTAAGCCCTCTTTCAGAAACTAAATATCAAATTCTCGTCACTTCAAGCATGTCTAGGCATAGCTTCGATCAATTGCTCATTTGCTCGCATCCCACAGACAACCTCTTGAAAAAATAAAGGAAGCTCGTTGAGATTATGCGAACGCCCATCTACGTAGGAAGGAAGAACCGAAATCCTATCACCCGTCAAACAATCATCAATCACCACTAGAAACTTCATTCTCCGCCGATCATAAGCCTTACAGCTCCTTCTCATACCAAATCAAGCCTTAGCAACCGCCTCAAGTCGCTGGTGGCTGCCCCGTTCTTCCCTAGAAATCCCGGTACCGGCAATGAACTCGGAGGCGGTGACGCAGCAAAAGCGGATCCGGCATAGATTCCGTCCTTCAAATCCGAAATCCTAATCTGTTCCTGCACCATTTCCGGGTCCGGACCCAACCGATCAGTCGATCCCAAAACCAAATCAAAACCTTCGTCGCTCTTGGGCATTTTCTGGTTGTTGGATGAAACAGCAACCGCTTGCGAGTGGTCGTCCTCCGAACTCAACCTTTCCCCTCGCTTGAGGATCTTAACCTGGCCCATAACAAGTTTTGCGCCCGCACTTTTCGCCACCGTGGATCGACCACCATACCGACTCCGACCTCGATCGTTATGATTAGCTTGAACGGCCACCGGACTTCTCTTCCTCCGGCGACTCTGGCCGACGTGAGAGTTAGGAATTGGAATAGGGTTAGGGTTAGGGTTTCTTCGGGATCTGACAGGCGATGCCGTTAGGGCTAAGGCTTCGCGGCCAAACCGACCTCGAAGACAATCTTGAGAGCGAAGTACTGCTGTTGCCATTTCCAACAAAGAGATGGGGAGATAACCGGAAATTGAAAAAACAAGCAACCAATCGCAAATTGAAATGGTGCATGATGGGGAAGCAAAACTTCATCGATATTTATAGGCAAATGAATCACGTGAGGCCTGAACGGCCTTCTAAGTGGCTTCGCTCTATTCTAGTTCCGTGTGACAGAGGCTACTGGACCAGGTCACGTGAGATGGCCTGATGGTCGGTTTTCCTTCAATGTTACCCTTGCAACGCATACAATGACGTGTCAAGTCGTGAGTGGAAACTTGTAACAGGAATTCGAGTCGTAGAAGAGGGATTGGGAGTTCAGAGCGGAACCGCCTTCGGAGAAATATAAAGCTGTAGGTGAGAACGGGTGCATTGGATCCATGCCGACTTTGAATCTCGATTTGCGTTTACACTTTACACGTACCACACCCAATAAATAAACGCAGATATAAAATAATGTTAATAATTTTTTATTAAAAGAGAAATTAAGAAAGTGTTTGATGGTTTTAAAAATACGAAATAAATATGTAAAAGAATTTGTCTTATTTTATATAAAAGTGCTTTTACATGCTTCTAAACACCTTTTTTTGCATCTTTATAGATTTTTTGTCTTGAAGTGTTTATTTGGATCTGCTTATTATAAACATATTTAGGGTTGAAATAAAACTCATCTCACAAAAAAATTAGTTGTTATAATTTTATAAGGATATGGATCAAAGCTTAATAGTAGGGACCAAAATCAAACTTATTAAAAGTATAAGGGCCTAAAATGGGTTTAATCCTAATTTCTTTTACAAAGTAACCTTTCTACTTTCTTAGTCCATAATATAAGACATTCGTTAAGAAAAAAATTATTACCCAAAATATAAGATGTTGTTATAATAATTAATATGATTTTTTCACTTTTATTCCTATTAAATATAAGAGGGAGACCAAAAATAATAAAAATATAACATTAAAGACAACTTTATCATTTTTAGGGGTAAAATAAAAATTTTTTATCATTTTAAAATATATTTAAAACTAAACTTTTATTTTTTTTAGTACGTAAGAAAAGTTAATCAACTTCATAAACCCGTGAGAATTACTTTTTAACAGTTCAACATAAGCAAATTTAATCCTATTGAGACGATATAAGCAAAGTTAGTACAATTAACTTCAGCGTTCTTTATCAAAATACAAGAACTAATGGCTATAGAACCTAAAAGTAAAATTATAAGGATCAGCAGCTATATTAACCTTGCTGGCAAAAAAAGAAGAAGAAGCTATATTAACCTTATTTTTTAGCATATTTATTCGAAGATCAATCTATACTGAGGGCTATCTATTTCAATTTCATGGCCAAGGATTGAAATAAATATGAATAAATTGTTTATCAATGATCATCATATTCATAAATCTATTTGAATACTTGATGAACAAGTAACAATATTATACATGAGATGGCCAAAAAAAAACAAGACTACCTCCAATGCTTAATATAAAAATCAGTTGACTAATTTGAGTAGATTAAGAAAAATACTTAAGTTAGTTATTTATAATAAATAAGTGTTATCTTTTTTTAAAATACACTTGCTAATTATATATATTGGTTGGAACTATCATTTGATAAAATATTTAACATAAGGATTATCTTACAAAAAGGATAAATATAAAAAATGAAACGAATTAATGTCTTATATTTTGGATTAAATTAAATATCAAACTAAATACTATCTTCAGTCCTTAATATAAGACCTCGTTTTGATTTTTATTTTGGTCCTAAATATAAGACCCTAATTCACTTTATCTCTAATATTTATGTATTTTTTTTCAAAATAGTCCTTCTAACAATAGTAGTTCTAGCTAATACACTTGATTAGTAAAGATATTTTAGGAAAGAAAACACTTATTTATGACATATAACTAACTTAACTTCTTTCATCAATCTTCTCAAATTATTCAACTAGTTTTTATAATTAAAACCGAAAATAGTATTATATTAAAGATGGAGACAGTATTAGATATGAATACATTTTTATAGTATGCCCACCAAAGATCTTACCATTTTCGAAGTAACTGGAGTTACATCTATTTTTCCATTTCAATTCAAGTTCTTATGTGTTCCCACGCCCCTTCGAGACCCCGAAAAATGGACAAGTGCCCATAAATCTCATGATAGGTACCAAAAGATTCGTAGTGAACTTTGATAAGAACTTCTCTTGAAGAAATAACACATTGATCTAGTCTCACGGTCGATATCATCACTATTATCAATATCGTCAATATCATCAACAAGAAAACCCTTAGGCTTGTTATCCAGGAACTTGTTCAGAAATATTGTAATGAAAGGAACATAGGAGTTTTCGAAAGAATTGAACGAGAAGCCATATGAGGTGAAAATCTCATATACGGTTTTGGTAGAGTGGCAGTAAGCGTGACTTATCTGTCAATTTTCTACTATTACCCCCAAAAACCAAACTCTACCTTGCGTAAAGTTGCCAGAGTACGCTTAACCTCTGGATTTAACTGCCTGATGTTCCTCTCTTTCATCACAATCGCACATTGACTCCTCTTATGCTTTGACAAATCACAATCCACAAATTCAACGCAGATATTTAATAAAAAATCAGCATAGATCTGAAAGAAAATCAAATCATTTTGAAATAGGCTCATGGCTTCAACTAATTGTTCCCTCTAAATTAAACAATAATAAACAAATATCTACGTATTATATCTAAAATCCAAGAGATAAAAGCCTTAAACCTCAATTTGCTCTAATATTTGAATTGAAACTAGAAAC